CTAAATTAAGATTGTATGATGATAAAAATAATACTATTTCTCTATTAAATCACATTAATTTACCTTATTATAATAACCATAAGTAATGGCATTAGGGTCAATACCAGCTTTCCGCATTTCAAAAAGCACTCGAACTGCAAGCACTGGCTGATCATACTGTCCACAGAGCTGCATAAGAATGCGGTAGCACACCTGAAACACAAGTTCCAAAGTGTACAGAAACAAAGATGTCTATGTATATAAATCTAGAATAATGCACTTTAAAGAATAATCATTACCTCATCAGGTGGATCCATCTTCTTTGATTGCATTTTTTTAAGCACATCATATGCTGTTTTCAGAGCCCTGACTTTTGAATTACATACTTTCACATAAGCTGGGAGACAAATAAACCACAGTCCATAACAGTGACGCAGCAGACACCTAGACCACATCTGAGGGATAGAAGAATATCTCTTGGCAATTTTATGGGCTGACTTAATTTCCTAGAAAAAATATAAGGATCTTATTAACAAATTTATACACCTAGGCATTATTATTTAGCTAAATGCTGAACAAGTACAAGTCACATGCTTTTATAATGTTTCCACAACAAATCTGTCCATAATTAATGTATTTTCAAGCCACTGCTTGAATCTACTTTAAATGATATGTAAAATAAAGTTCTAGGACAAGAGAATTTGTTTATTTCTTAAAGTCAGATTACCCTGGCTGGTCCAATGGTAGTGGGTTATCAGAACTTATTAACATTAGTGTCACTAAAGTTGGTATTCAACCTCCCACTGCTAAATTTGACTGGCTACAAAAAAAAAAAAAAGAGAGAAAAAAAAGAGAAAAAAAAAAAGTCAGATACCCTAAACTATCTTCATAGTGCTTTGGGGTGCATGATAATCTAGCAATAGCTATATACAGGGTTATAAAGTATGTTAAGGGAGGGTATTTGATTACAGGAAGAACGCAAAAATTTCAAAGCACCTGTTTTGTTCTTCTGAACATAGGAGAAGGGCTACTAGGGCTACTTGATTTTGAAGGCAATTTGTTCTTTCGCATTTGTAGAAATCCTTCAGGTCTCTCAAATAAATTGTTCCTAAGAACTGGAAATCCATTATAGCTGTTTCAGAAAGGAAAAAAAAAGTTCTCAAGTATACACAGATGATCATTGTGGTTAGAAGCTAAAAAAATTATGATCAATAACTTCTTAACCTAGAATTTATTTTAACTATCTTTCTCCATTAGACTATGATATATGCTCAGCAAATATTCATACTAATGTTGCTTTTCTTATTATAATGTTTAGAAGTGTAACAGCCAAATACAGACTTAAGTATATATTTTTTGGGGAAAAAGGAAAATACACTTAAATTTTCTGGAACTTGACATTAAACTCCAAAGTCTCAAGAAAATTTTTAAAAGTTAGTATTCATGTAAATATATTGCCAACATATTATAATAGATAATGTGACAGTCAGTAAAGGGTCCACCAAATCAGTACTCTTTCAAACAGAATAATCATTAAAGTCATTGCTTTGGATTAACATATTTACTGTAGAACCTCCCTCTTAGAAAGATGCAAATAACAACCTTAGGTTTAACACACTAGCAAACCAGGCCCAGCTCTCACGTTATCATGAATTGGCTTATCAGGCTAGCTAGCAGGTTCAGGGCCTCATTTATGAGAAAGAAAATTGAGGAGGTTGAAGAAGAGGAAGAAAAGATTAGAATAGGTGGCTCTATGAGCAGGTAGGTCTAATTAGGGTGCTAGAACAAGGTGCTCTGGTCATTTAAAAGGTACCAGGTAGGCCAGGCACAGTTGTACATGTCTGTAGTCCCAGCTACTCAGAAGGCTGAGGCAGGTGGGTAACTTAAGCCGGGGAGTTCAAGGCTGTAATGTCCTATGATCACACCTATGAATAGCCACTGCACTGCAGGCCTGCGCAACATAGCGAGACCTCATTTCTAAAATAAGTAAATAAGTAAAAGGTAGCAGCTAGAATAAAGACATGCTGAAAAGAAAAGAGGCTCCCAAACAACACACTCAACCTATTTAAGAATATTACACAATGTTTTTAAAGGCATACAGTTTTCATTAAGAACAAACGTAACTATAACAAAAGAGGATAAACAATAACTGTTATTCATTACTATAGGCAAATTCTGTAGAATAATAAAATATTAGTAATGATTGAATGTTGAGTAGGAAACAGCAAAGAAATTCAGGAAAGCCATATCTCTTTAGAAAATTCATTCTATGTACATGGTGAGATAATAAGACCATTTTGTGTGCCTTATGGAAATGTCTCATTATTTTACACGGATAATTAAGTGTATGAGTCATCTCTTATTAGGAGGACCCTCTGTGCTCATTAAGGACATTTGTTTTTCCAATGATAGTTATGATTATACCAAAAATTATATTGGTAGCCTCAAGAAAAAAAATGATTTACACTTTAAAAAAAAGAAAACTTTTTAAGCTAAGTAATTTTCTCATTCAAGGACTAAATCTAAAAGTAAAATTTAAATTAAAAAGTTAAAAGCAAACCAGAGAAAGAAAAACAAAACTATATTAGTGAAACATACCAGAAGACGACTAAAAAGTATAAAGTAAAAGAGATCAAAGAAATGAGATCTTGTTTAAAAAGAAAAAGAAGGGGCCAGGTGGTGGCTCACACCTGTAATCTCAGCACTTTGGGAGGCCAAGGTGAGAAGATCACTTGAGGCTAGGAGTTTGAGACCAGCCTGGGCAATAGTAAGATCCTGTCTCTACAAAAAACTAAAAAAAAAATTAACTGGGCATGGTGGCATGCACCCACAGTCCCAGCTACTTAGAAGGCTGAGGCAAGAGGATTGCTTGAGCCCAGGAGTTCGAGGCTGCAGTGAGCCATGATTACACCACTGCACGCTAGCCTGGGCAACAGAGCGAGACTGTGTCTCGAAAAAAAGAAAAGAAAAGAAAAAGGAAAAAAGAAGAAGAGAAAAATTAAGAGAAATATTTGAAATACCTTTGACAAAAAGACAGATTTTTTAAAAAGTGATATGAAAACATCATTACTAGATGAAAAGAGCAGAAATCAAGTGGTTTCTGAATTAATCTACATTCACAAACATCTACCATGCCATTTTTTCATCTGTAAAATGAAGGATTTAATGTTAGTCATATATGAGGATGTCCTGAAAAATCCTTTTCAATGAAAATAACAAGCTGTGACTCAATGAATAATAGAGGTAAAGTGGTTTTACGATCTTTAAACAAAGTAGCAAAGTATTACTGGAGAATTAAAAAAACATTTAAATTCTAAAAGAAAATACAATTTTAAGTAAAAATAAATAATAAAGACTAAAGACTAAATAATAAATCTACCTGTATCATAGCCCTATTTTACTGTGCTCAAGACTTTCCTCTATTCTCCACTAGACTTGAAGGCAGGGACAGCGCAGAACTCAAGTCTATATACCAAGCCCTTAGCACAGTGTCTAACCAAATTTCCTAAATTAATAGTGATCAATTCTGATAATTCTGTATGTCTATGATTTAAAAATAAAAACTCATGACAAAATTAATAGCCTAAAAGATGATATCACACAAATTAAGGCCACAAATATTGACTCTAAATTAGATTTGATCTTTTTGTAAATCAAGGCTGTATTAATCAATGTGTGTATGGGATGAAAAGAGGGACTGAAGGTGAGGAAACCAGCTTTAGTGAGAAACAAAGATCAGAATTCTATAATAAAAGTGCTCCATTTGAGGCGAGGAGTCTAACTGAATTTAATCGACATTTGCGAGGACAGATACTTATGCAGACATAATTAGAGAGCTTTCCAAGTCTATATTATGCAAAATTATGCAAAATTATATATTTTTTATTTTTATACCTCAAAACTTAATAATGGATGTGGGATAAGCTTGCTTACCACCTAAAAATTAGGGATCTGTAAAGTTTGGATTTTTGAAAATACCACAGTCCTTAGAAAGCTACGTCACAGATGATGGATCGCTTCTCTTTTTCAATCTCAAACATTCTGCCTCTTGAATACCTGTACTGTAAAGGGGGTTCTTCACCATTGGGTAGATGGGGGATCTCAGGTGGTGTTACAAAAACAGTATGTTCACTTTTGAAAGATTCATCCAGTTCTATAAGTCGCACTTCACCGCTCTTGTCCACATCCACCTGAAGGAGTTTAAAAAACACATATTACAAAAACCATGTTGGTTAGCCATGTATTCATCTATAGGGGAATGGTTAAATAAATCATCTGCACAGATGAATACTAAAGAGCTATTAAAAAAAAAAAAGAATGAGCAAGTTCTCTATGTACCACTACAGAAAGAGCTCGATGATAAGTGAAAATAGCAAGGTGCCAATCACTGTAAATAGTAGACTATCTTTTGAGTAAAAAACAGGGGAAAATAAGAACATTTATTCATTTTTTTTTTACATTTACATAAAGAAATACTAGAAGGATACTAAGAAAAGTAATTACGTATATGGGGAAGAAGAGAAGAATAGAGTGGATGAGGATGGGGTAGGAACCCAGATGTCCCAATATGTACCTTTTTATATTGTTCTGCATTTTGAATCATACAAATGTAATCAAGAAATAAGATTTTAAAAAATGCATATATGTGTGTGTGTGATAAAAATAGAGGATTCTGTATATTTTTAAAATTTATACTAAATATAACAAACTTCTCTAAGTTCTTTCAGTTATGTAGAAGTACTTTTGAGTTAAGCTCTAGTCACATCAATATTCAAAAGCACTTTAGGTGCAGTGGCCCACACCTGTAGTCCTGGCACTTTGGGAGGTCAAGGTGGGAGGATCACTTGAGGTCAGGAGTTTGAGACCAACCTGAGCAAGAGAGAGACCGTGTCTCTACAAAAAATAGAAAAATTAGCTGGGCGGGATGGAGCACGCCTGTAGGCCCAGCTACTCCAGAAGCTGAGGCACGAGGATCACTTGAGCCCGGGAGTTTGAGTTTGCAGTGAGCTATGATCATGCCACTGCCCTCATGCCTGGGCCACAGAGCAAGACACTGTCCCAAAAAAAAAAAAAAAAAATTAGTATAAAAGAAGATATCTTTCTTTTCAGCTTGTCAAAAAGGCTTTTACATGGTGCAATTAGCAATGATACAATAAATAGAGTAAACTGGATAATCACATACCCTGCTAGTACTAAAAATTGGCACAAAATTGCTTTTTTAGAAAGCAAGATGTGTTTAAAAATTTCCACTTTATTCGAAGAAAATAACCTAACATGAAAAAAAGCTATTGGCATGAAAGATGTTTTTCGGAGGACTGCAATAGCAATAAATTGGAAGTCATCTACATGTCAAAAAATAAGTAAATGAATGAAGTATAGTAAATACACTGGATGAAATTTAGTCACTAAAAATTAAAATAGTAAAGATTATGTAGACTTCTGGTTGAATAAGACAAATTAAACACAGCAGCTGGCCTTCAATACCTCCAGAAATTCCACCAGAATGAGAGTAAGGAGACAAAACAAAGCACTTGCAAAGACAAAATGAACTAGAAAGGAGAAAAGCAGCACAGTCTGGAGTTCAAAATATTTTAGAAGCTACAAAGTAGATTGGTGTGACCTGTGAAAACTGAAAGTCACGTATCTGCCACTGGGGAGGGACAGAGGAGGGATGCCAAAAAGCAAGCCATTTTGCCCTGTAGAGCCCCAGACAGGTCAGGAAAGGAAAGCATTAGAAGTACTTACAGATGGGAGTACAAGTGGGGTTGAAGCAGGAGAATTAGTAAAAGCCTGCATTTAAGGACTCTCAGATTCCTGGCCCAACTCAATACTACCTTTCCCCAGAGCTAGCAGGAGACTAGGTTGGATCTTTCTGGGTGAACCACAGGGACTTTAGACTTAAGGATGCTGGAGGCGATGAGGGAGGTTACTGAAAACAGATAAAGTAAAAAAGCCTTACTTTCCAATAAAGAGATAACCTCAGTTATCTTTCCCATTGAGCTCTGAGAATTTTGGCAAGTTAGGCTTATTCTACTCAGGCTAGAGACTGGGGAATACCTTTTGGGGAAACTAGCTGGGCTAAAGAAAAGAATTATAGACACTGATTAAAGAGGGACTCCAGTGAAATAGTTAAGTTCTGTTATGAGTATCAATTTCAAACCTAAGGAAACCCCAAGCTCCACTTTCCTGGAAATAGCTTCAGTGAAGCACAAGTCTCACTCTTGAAAATGAACAGCAACCAAAGATTACTAGACACAAAGAAAACCAATAACATTAAAGAGAACAAAATAAATATTAAAAGTACTCAGAAGCAGCAGAGACGATGCAGGGAGAAGAAATCTTCAATATAACTAAAATGAATAATCCTATGTCCATAAAATAAGAACAAGATACTATTAAAAAGGAACATTCAATGAATAAAAAAAGTTTATGGAAATTACATATGTGATAGAAGAAATAAAAAGTATACTATAAGGGTTAGAAGATAAAATTGAAGAAATTTCCCAAAAAGTGGAACTGAAAGACAAAGAGAGAGAAAATAGAATGAAAAAAATAAGAAAAGAGGATCAGGCCAGGAGGGCCAATATTCAGATATGTATTTCAGAAAAAGATAACAGAGAAAATAGAGGAAGAAATTAATCAGAATGGAAGAAAATGAACCCACAGATTAAATGGGCCTGCTTGTATCTAACTCAATGAAGAAAAAAAGGCCTACATGAGGCATATCCTTACAAAATTTCAGAGCATCGGGGATCTTAAAAGCTTCCAGAGGGAAAAAGAGATCTGGTACAAAAGATCAGAAATCAAGATAGTATTAGACTTATCAATAAGAGTAGGAGCTTAAAACACAACAGCAATGATTTCAAAATTTTAATATAACCAAACTGACAATCAAATATTAGGAGAAAATAAAAAAATTTTCAGACACGCAGGGTGTCAAAAAATGTATCTCCATTGAACCTTTCTCACTAAGCTATTGGAAGATATGCTTCACCATAACAAGGAAATAAACCAAGAAATAGTAAGTTATTGAAGGCAAAATGTGGCATCCAACACTGGAGAGAGGTCAGTATAATTCCCAAGACGATGGTGAGGGAAAATCCCCGATGACAAACTAGAAAGCAATCAGTTCAGACTGGAACAAGAGGATGGAAAGCTACAGCAAGAATTCTTCCACTCCTCTCTCCCCCAAAAATCAAATGGATAGATTACTTGATATGATGGAAAAATTGAGAGATTTTTCACTTCTGTACAAGAATTCGGAGATGAATTAAAAATAGACACAAAACAAAAAATACAACAATTACTGACCTGAGGGAAAACAAAAATCCACACATAAAAGGAAATTTAATTACAGTATTTATGTGGCCTAGCTGTCACTAGCTAACACTGAACAATTATTTGACCAAAACTCATAACTATATTGGGAGACTGGTGATGGTAGTAAATGTGATACAACAGATAATACAGAAAACAATAAGCAGCAATAAAAACTCCCTCATATCTTAAGGTAAATGACTGAAGAAATAGTGGGAAGAGAAAGTGATTGCCTCTGGGGAACAGAAACAAGGTGGGTAGGAATGAGACACAGCCTTGTAAAATTTAACTTTTTAAACTGTATCATGGTTTATTCTGGTAGAAGCAAAAATTTACTCTTAAAATATGTAGCAGCAATATTAAAAATGCTTAAGATCTGGTTAGGTACAAAAATAAAAATCCATCTTATAATTTTGTGAAAAACATTGGAAGTAAATGTAAAATGGATTTTACATTTGGGCCCTGGGCTTACAGAGTTTTATTTTTCCCTTTTATCTTCCACATTTCCTGTTACTTTAGTAATTTAAGAAAAGTGTTAAAAAATTAAACTTTCAATAAAAACAAAGAATGCTTTAGCCATTATTAGAAAAACTAAAGGTATTTTTAAAAACAACATTAGAAACATGTCAATAATAATTCAAAATCATAGGTATCACTAGTAGGATGTGGTGTCTGTCCATGGTCAACCCAAGAATAAATAAGATTCTTTATAGCCACAGATATTTTCATGCAGATGGAATGGGGTTAATCTAATTCGTAAGGGCAGCAATGACAATGAAGTAGAAAGGATGGGTCAGAATAAAAAGGTTAAAATAAATAGACAAGGTTGCTAGAAAGACTGGAGACTACCCCTGTCTCCACGATGGAACATAATAAGAGGACTACTCGGCTGTGTGCAGTGGCTGGCACCTGCAATCCCAGCTACGTGGGAGGATCGCTTCAGTCCAAGAGTTCGAAACCTGGGCCAAACAGTGAGACCCCGTCTCTAAAAATAAAAAATTTAAAAAAATTAGCCAGGCATGGTGGCCCACAACTGCAGTCCCAGCTAGTCAGGAGGCTGAGGCCAGAGGATTGTTTGAGCCCAGGAGTTCCAGGCTGCAGTGAGCTATGATTGTGCCACTGTACTCTAGCTTGGGTGACAGAGAGACCCCATCTCTAAAAAGAATTAAA